CTTTTGATCTATTACCTTTTTTTGGTAGAGTGAGACATGCTTTTGTGAAAATGTTTATGGTTTCTTGACTTGATGTCAAAAGACTTGTTTGAAGTTGCCTTGTAATTCAGAGGTTTTTCTTTTTGTAACTAGTATTAGTATTTGGCTTTGGCTGCCAGAATAATAGCAAGTTAGTCTGGATTTAGGGGACTACTTTTGAATAGATAATATACTGAATTTTAGAAATAACTTTATTGTTTGTGGACAAATTAGACATGTTAAGTATAAAAAATCTAAATAACACCAACTTATAAGAATAAGAAAATAAAAATAAGCCTATATCTCACTCAATGTTAACATTTTTGCTAAATTGAACATTACTTTGTGAAACTTGCATGTGCACGTGTGTGTGTATGTACACATATTTGATTTTCTATAAATTGATTGGTTATTATACATGCAGTTTTTAAATTCAACAATACATTTTGGCCATCTTTTTATATCAATAAATATACATTTATATCAGAATTTTTAATGATTATAGAGTAGTGTTATATGTATGTATCATAATTTGCTTATCTGGTTAGTAGGTTATTTCCAATTTTTGGCTGTTATAAAAATGCTGTAATGAACATACATATTATTTATATATACGTTTTTGTGATTAGTTTCTTAGGATAATTTTTGGAAGTAGCATTGCAAATTCAAAGGATATTGACATTAAAAATTTTAACATTAACTCTCAAATTACCATTCAGAAAAGTTGTACCCAGTTTATAATCTCATCAATGGTATATGAAAGTGTTTTTTTCCCCACACCCTCACTAATACTAGTTTTTGTCCAGTTTATAAAATATTTTGCCAATATTTTAGGTGAAAATATTTTATTTATATTTCTTTGATTATTAGGTAGATTATACACATTTTTGTGTTATTGGACATTTGTATTTCTTTTTTTTAATGTTTTTTATTTTTTATTTATTCATGAGAGTCAGAGAGAGAGAGAGAGAGAGGCAGAGGCAGAGGCAGAGGCAGAGGGAGAAGCAGGCTCCCCGCCCAGCAGGGAGCCCGATGCGGGACTCGATCCCAGGACCCTGGGATCATGACCTGAGCTGAAGGCAGACGCTCAACCATCTGAGCCACCCAGGTGCCCCATTTGTATTTCTTCATTTGTACATTTCCTCTTTGTATTCTTTTTTTTTATATATATATTGAAGTGCTTGTAACAATGCACTTTTTATTTAATAAATTAAGGATGTACAAAAGATTTGACAGAGAATATGAACCATGTCACTGCCAAGGTCAGATGTAATAGTCTGTGGCCCAGGTTGAATTATTGATAGTTTTAAGAATCCTTGAGGGGAAAGACCATGACCTTTAAAAAAAAAGTTTATCTACCTATCAATCAATTGAGATATAATTTACATATAATATGTGTTAGTTTTAGGTTTACAACATAATGATTTTACTTATTTAAAAAAATGTTCATGTTCATATTGTCTGGTACAGTCTCTCACCCATGGTCATCATTTGCTGAATGAATGAATGAACACACAGAGTAATGGGACAATCCATGGTGATTGGGTGTTCTGAGGATTCATTCTCCTAAACAGATTGTGATTTTCCAGAACAGATGGTAATTTGCTCTGGCATTTTCTTCTCTATCTTTTTAGGTTTGTGCTGCCCTCAAGACCAAAGTGGTCACTTTTATTTTGGAAATGGCCTAAACCTTCTAGGTCTTAAAGAAATAACTTACTTCAAATTGTGTGTTAATTTTTGTGCGTTAATTCTTAACTCTTCTCCCATCATAAAATGTTACTTGTTTATTCCTAAATTGTCTGCAGGAGGAAATACCTTAAAGTCTTCTTTTTTGTAACAATGGGAACTGTGTGATTTTAGAAGCTTATGTTTTTTATTTATTTTTATTTTTTTAATTAATTAATTTTTATTAACATATAATGTATTATTTGTTTCAGGGGCACAGGTCTGTGATTCATCAGTCTTACACAATTTGCAGTGCTCACCAACATACTCTCCCCAATGTCCATCACCCAGCCACCCCATCTCTCCCACCCCGCTCCACTCCAGCAACCCTCAGTTTGTTTCCTGAGATTGAGTCTTTTATGGTTTGTCTTCCTCTCTGGTTTTGTCTTGTTTCATTTTTTCCTCTTTTCCCCTATGATCCTCAGTCTTGTTTCTCAAATTCCACGTATCAGTGAGATCATATGATAATTGTCTTTCTCTGATTGACTTATTTCGCTTAGCATAATACGCTCTAGTTCCATCCATGTCGTTGGAAATGGCAAGATTTCATTTTTTGATGGCTGCATAATATTCCATTGTGTATATATATATATACCTATATATATATATATAGGTATATATATATTGGTATATATATACTCATATATATGTGTATATATATATATATACACACACATATATATACACACACCACATCTTCTTTATCCATTCATCTGTCGATGGACATCTAGGCTCTTTCCAGAGTTTGGCTATTGTGTGAAGCTTATGCTTTTTAAATTGTTTGTTCCGAAATTCACCAATAGTGTAAAACAGTTGATAATGAGATTCAGAGTTGCTTTTAACATATGTAGTAAGACTGCATTGATATGACAAGTGAGAATTATTGACTTCATATTGATGTATATTAGAATATTATTTGTCCTGAATGTCTAGAATCTGATTTGTTCCAAATTTCAAATATTTCCAGAGTTAGAGATCTTAACTCCTAGAGTCCAATATTGAAAAAATGAGATATATGTCAGCCACAATATTTTTGGATGCATTTTATTATATCCCCCATCATTTAAATGCAAATGAAGGAATGCGATATATTGTGTATTTTGCATAATTCCAATTCATGCCTTTAAAGGAATAGTTGCCAGAAAGACAAGGTGTGATTATTTTTATAATATGTAAGTATTGGATTCTCCCAGAGTTTATGCTTTTGGATATATAGCATTTTGCTATAGCTTTAATTTGTGGATAACTTCAAATTATAATTTACAACTCAGGACAGGATAAAATGTAGGAATAGCTTATATCAGAACAAGTATTCTTTGCTGGATTTCAATAGTACACAGAGTGTGTCCACATAGTGTTATGTAGTGTCCCAGATAAAATTGTTCTCTTGGATCTGAAAACATCAGAAAGCTGTTTAGGAAGAAAGGGTGTTATACCAAAAATAAATTCAGAGCCACCTTCCCTGGCTAGACTCTTCTGTACTTCTTGCATCCATGGAAGTAGGCATCATAGAATTGTTGGAAACTGGTGAAACTGGAGTGAAGTAGGCCCGAGGCACCATTCTTTACAAAGAGAAGGAGGTCTTGGGGCGCCTGGGTGGCTCAGTCATTAAGCCTTTGCCTTCGGCTCAGGTCATGATCCCAGAGTCCTGGGATCAAGCCCCGCATCAGGCTCCCTGCTCCGCGGAAAGCCTGCTTCTCCCTCTCCCACTCCCCCTGCTTGTGTTTCCTCTCTCGCTGTGTCTCTCTCTGTCAAATAAATAAATAAAATCTTCAAAAAAAAAAAAAAAAAAAAGAGAAAAGGAGGTCTAGTGAAGAAACCTAATAGGTGTATTAACCATCAATACATAAAACTGTCCAAATGCCCAGGACTTTATTGTCTATAAATCCTGACTGGAGGGGTACCTGGGTGGCTCAGTCATTAAGCATCTGCCTTCAGCTCAGGTCATGATCCCAGGATCCTGGGATCGAGCTCCGCATCAGGCTCCCTGCTCAGTGGGAAGCCTGCTTCTCCCTCTCCCACTTCCCCTGCTTGTGTTCCCTCTCTCACTGTGTCTCTCTGTCAGATAAATAAATAAAATGTTTTTAAAAAAATTCCTGACTGGAAAATTATCTGGGCCACTTAGGCAAAAGCATATTATAGGAGCTGGGAAGGGCTGAGTTAGATATTTATTTCGTATCTCAATTTCAGATGCCTAATTCATTTGTGCTATGTAAATATAACGTTGGAAATAGTGTTTCCTACAAATGATGTTGATCAAGATTCATTTTTTCCAGAATGAATTTTATTTTAATCTGGTTAGCTAACTAGCCAGGTTAGTTAACTAACCTAGATGTTTACTAGCTATATTTTAAAAATGTGGATTGAATAAAACTAATCTCTAAGTCTAGGAAAGTTTCTGACCTAAATTAGGAACTCAAGCTCCATTATTATTTTAAGTTGAACACTACTCATAGCCATTCTCACATTTTGGAAAGAATATGGCCTTTGCAACAAAGTTTCTTTGTTTTCATGGAACTAAAAATGTGCTGTATTTAGACCAAACAATAAAAATAAACTACCAAACTACCTTCTAATGCATGGGGGTTCTGGAGAGAGGAAACCATAGATATTTAGAGGCATAAAGTGACTCATTGTGCTAGTTAAAACTTTTTACAAGGCTAGCTCTGTGTGTTTGAGTTGCATCTGTTACCTGTTCAGCCAGAACTAAAGTGTGTGCAAGCAAAAGAATTTTGGATTGAATTGTGCCTTATACAGAATGCATTGCATATAGCCTGAGTGTCTAAATGTGTTCCATACCTTCAACAGAACAAAAAGTGCATCTTTTCATTTTTATTCTACCTGTAAGATATTCCTGTTGGATATATCCAAGATATTTTCTGTGAAGTGCATTCATTTTAACTTGCAGACATAAATTAAACATGTTTTTTAAATGTAACTTGTAAGCCTCTATTCCCTTAAAAATTGTTTTCTTCCTTTTGTTTTTACTTATTGATACTTTAAACACCTACTTTACTACTGACTTTTTTTTTTTTTTAAAACCATAATGGACAGAGATGTATTCCTAGAGGTAGAAGAGTGGAATAATTGTCTCTTTTGGTTATTATTATCTTGGAAAAAGCTGTTAGAATAGATGGGGACAACTGCTTGAGTTAAAACTAGTATAATTTGTAGACATAATGTATATACTCCTTTAATAAAACATATAAATGCAATTTACTTATATTTTTAAATTTCATTTTCTGTCTAACTTTCAGGTCACTTTCATGAATTCAAAGGCAATTTACCAGTGATTTCTGGGTGCTGGGGCTGATTTTTTGTCCGTATTTGTAAGTATTGGTTTATTTATTACTTTTCTCATTGCATAATGAAGTAGTTACAGTTTATAAACAAGTTCTTAATTCCTTTTGTGTGTGAATTTTTATTATTTTTTCTGTTACTTTAAGTGTTATTAGGTTTTTGTAAGTGCTTTCTTAAGAGGACTATAGAAATAGTACCAGCTGGTGAAAAAAGCCCCAGTTTATTGTGATTTCCAGTGAAATAACACAATGGCGGGGCCCGTTACAATAAGCTGGAAGAATAAATATCTTACTTTTTGAAGATGGGGCTCAATTATAGGAATGAATTACCTTAAAGGGGCTAGTCTATATACACATGAATAATTTACCCTGGTAACTTCTTACAGTCTTCTGGTTGTCTGGACTTGAAAAGTACTATGTGCCTGTGCACATAGAAAAGACGTGAGATGATACAGAATTCAAAGAGCTGTCAGCACATGAGGAGATTATGTACTACGGAGCCAAAGGCTTATTTAGTGAATGTATAATGTGTATCCAAATGGGGGTATTCCTGCTTTCTTCACCATCCCCAAAACACTATTAAATTTTAAATGATATTTGGGAGAACAAAGATACTTTTTTCTCAGAAAAGGCAAATTTCAAGAAAAAAATGGAATGAACTTGAATGATCAATTATAGTACTTTAAATTGATATATATTTATTAATATAGAAGTAGTTTAGAGTATGAGGCAGGTATTAAAAATGTGTACGTATAAGACCATATTTAAGTAACTTGAGTTTAAAATATATTTATATGTGTATATTGTTGGAATCTAAGGAGCTCATATACATTTCATAGCAACAAAGACAGAGGAAAATTGTCCTCTGTTGGTGTACCCCTACAAGGGAGTTTTAGAGGATATACTTCCAGGAAAAGTATTTAAAAAAATGCAACATTATAAATTCGAGTTTAAGTTATTCAGTATTTAAGCAGAGCACAGTGAATATTTATATAAAACCAGCTTTATCTTTCTTTTAGTAGTAGCATTGACTGGGACAAGCATTTTGAATCAACTTAAAAAATAGATGTGAATGTTTAATATAGTTTAATACATTTTGTATATATTTAATTCTTTATGAATGAGTACATTATTTTTATGAAACTATCAATTCACATTTTATTATTTGAAGACTTAATTCTTATGTAAAACACAAAATATTAAACTGCATAGCTCCTTTGGATTAAATGTAAGCTTTTAATTTGTGCAAGGTATCATAGTGAGGATTAGGAGCTGAAGAAGATGGAGAAAGAAATGTAAAGTATCTTTGAAGGGCTCTCATGAAAAAGGATAATTCCAAGGAGTTGAGCTTATCCTATTAGAAATCTGAGTAAAAGGAACCAATTTTGAGTTGTTCAAATCTTATCTTAGTTGCTATATCCTTTCTTTTACCTCCTTTCTCTCTTCTTTCATATCATTCAGTCATTTACTTTAGTAAGTTTTTAGGATGACTACATTTTTAAAATGACAAATACAAGATAATTACTGGCAATTCAACCAAGATGGCTTTTATTAAAGCATTAAAATATAGTTTACATTTCTCATTACCCAAAGGCCCTCTTTTCTGATTTCTTTACTCCTCTTTTGTGTTCCCCTTCCACCAGACATACATAGGCTAGCTTTGAATGGAGGGGATCCAATTAGCTGAGATTTTTTCTAGCAATCTAACAAAGAGGGAGACTAAAATTCGAAGAAGGGAATCTGTGGCTATAGTTTTCATGTGGCTATAGTTTTCATACGGTTATTTCTGGAGTTCAACATAAAAAAAATAATCTTTTAGTCAGTTTTGTCTGATCACGTAGGCAGAAGTCATGCTAATCATTTAGGCCCCAAATAATTGTTTTTCAGTCTTAAGAATTTCCATGTTAGTTTAGGGCATGGACTTTGTCATTCCTAAATTTAGTGGTCTCAAGCTTTGTTAGGGCCATCTTCTAACTGTGGAACCTTCTTATTAAAGGACCATAGCAGGATTCTATGACTAAGATAAGTCAGATAAAATTAACATGGCATCCAGAATGCTTGAGTTTCCATTCCTTTCAATTACTGCAGAAACTGTCCACCACTTACACTGAATGATGAGGCAGCTAAAGCAATGGAAATATTTATCTAGTCTGGCCTAAGAACAGGCAAATAGGATCAGTGACAATGGCTTCTTTTAGGAACTTTAATTTCCATCCTGGAACTGCTTATTTGCTACATGATCTAAGGCAGAAAGTTATACCTCATGGCCATGGGAAGGTTTCTTAGTAAGGTGTGCAGAAATCAGTCTGTGAGATAAGAAAGGTGGGATATTGTTTTGCACATCCATAATGAATGGGCCACACCAAGGGTGTGTGAGAACTGACTGGAATCTTACCTCCTCACATCAACTACCTGTGTCAGGAGAGGAAAACACTGTGAAGGAAAATGGTTACTTCTCAGAAGCTGAAAGCATCTTATTCCATTTTTTTTCCTCTTTAAAAAATAAAACTGCTCTTGTCTTTTTCAAAAGTAGGCATTGTATAAGAAGACCTTGTTTTGCATGTTAACATCTCACATTTAATTTTTTATCTCTAATTTAAAAATAATTATATAATTCTGACCATTCAATTTTACCAGGGCAATAAATTATTGGTTAAAAAAAAAAAAAAGAAACAAAACAGAGGTAGGTCTTTAAATACCCTGCTTTTTCAGGTTACCCAGGCCTTTTAAATAATTTGATAATGAATTTACTTTTATAAAATTCTGCCTCTGTTCATGGTCTTGAATGACAACCTTTTCCCTGAAAAGATACAGAAGTATTTTATTCTCTGGCACAAGAAGTGATTATTGCTTAGCCCCATGCTTGAGGCAATAATAAGAGTATCTTAATTTGGTATAACACTTGCTTTTACAGACATTAAATTGGCTGAGTTTTATAAAAACTGTTAGGTGAATAGGAATTATCCTTATCTTTGCAGAGTAGCAGGACTCAAATATAGGGATTCATGGTATAAATTCAGTGCTCTTTCCATAAAACCAAGCTATCCTGTCACAGAGAGAATTTTAGCTCTCTTTCTTTTGTTGTTTTTGATCACCATCTCAGTCTCCATTTGGTGGCTGTACAAATATTTTTGGAAAGTTGAGGTAGAGTAAGTCAGGGAGTAGATTGTAGAGTACCTTCTACCAATTCATTTCCTCATGTTCCTGGATCATTTGCTCCTCCCTGACATTTTCCTATCCCCCTATTCCAAAACTGCTATACGTCCTGCTTCAGCTGAAATTTTTTGAATTGCGTAGATTTTCAGGAAACAAACAAAAAATCACAAATTCATCTCTTTGTGGTATTTTAAAAGGAAAGAAATCTGTTTCAAACTGAGCATAACCCAGACCAAAGCTCCCTCAGTGAGAATGCCTGTGATTTTCAGGACAAGTAGGTCTAAGTGCATTATCTTTAAAAAATATTATTCTAGGCTAATCTTGACATAGAGCAGGTAAATAAAAAAGATGAGCTGTGAAAATCCACAAATAGGGCTTGAATGCCATTTTCCATGACAACGGGAGCTGCCCCATGAAAGCATTAATGCTGGGAATGTGAGGAATTTAAAATTGTGCCTTCTCAGTTTTACAGTTGTGTGCTCATGTTAATTAGAGATATACTGACATTTGAAGTATCTACATTAATACACACAGCTACTGTACATTTGTGAACTGTGGCCAGAAATCTACTTTAATTGAAAGCAGTTCACTAATCTGAATGTGTATATCCATTACATTTGAAGCTTTTAAATTTTATATACTAGTGCCCTTAGATACTTGTTCTTTCTGCTCTCTTCACTTTCTGTTTCTAATTTATTTATACCTGAAAGGACAGCCTGGCCTATTTTAATCTCCTTGCGGTGTTTTGGAGCAATATTGATGGAATTTTGAGGAAAAAAATGTTTTTAATAGTGTCCTTTATTTGCTGTAGTTTGAATCTCTTTCTAAATTGTTGGTTTTTCTTGCAAACCTTTAAGATGGCCTGCCGCCGAAATAAGGTAGGATTTAGGTTTATGGAATTTGCTTCACTGGCTATATTTAAGCACTAAAAAGCTACTTTTCACAGTCACGCTATGGTTTTAGCCAGAAAAGCCCAGTATTAGAGACCTTGATGGGATGAACAGTGAAGAGGCATTCTATTTTTCCTAATATAGCTGGATTTATCCTTCCCTCTTGATGTCAAGCCATGTATCTTAATTTTTGATTTGCAAATATGTTCACAATAGCTGGATGACTTCTTGAGGTCATCTTTAGCCCTAGAGTTTTTGCTTTGTCTCTCTTACAAAAAAAAGATCTTACATCTATTTTTTGCAAGCTTGTATTTCTTAAGAATTTGCCTGTCAGGATTTTTAACCTAATTGTTTTGTGCTTGTTGTCTAATGAAACTCCCACACTTACTTTTTGGACCAGTCTCTGAATATTACACAAGGCCAGTTAGAAAGAAGCTTCCTTTTAGTAGAACCAGAACAAACTGCTCCAAAAAGTTTGTAATACTCTGGACTTGTTTCATTAAACCGTTTTACTGGCACCATTAAACCACTGAGACCTGGGACCATTAAAACTTACTCAGTATTATTATTAGGTTGATGGCCTATTTTACCCTTTATTACTTTTATTCACTGTGCTAAGTTCCTCTGTTCTTTATTCTGTCATGTCGCTTACTACATACTGTGCCATCACAGCACATTTGGTAATTCCAAGTTAATTGCTCAATTATCAGTGATAGTCATGAAGCACTTGAAACATGCGCAGTGGAAGATTTAAAAAATTTCAAAATAAGTTGGTGTGTCATAATCTCAAATGTGAAACATGCCAATATCTGCAGGCATAAAAATACACTGCCTGAGCTAGGCATTTCAGGGAAGGCAAAAATCTACTCTTAAAATCAGGGCTTTTGTCTGGCAGTGAAGTGTTTCATCTTTGCTAATTTCAAACAACATGTCTAAATTTGATCTTGGTTTACTTTTCAACTCTAAAAATTTGGTCGTGGTTAT